AGCCGAGCGGTACGCGTAACGCGTTTCCCAGAGATAAAAAAAAAAAAAAAAAAGGTCGTTGGATTCCGACTGAAAAAATCTGCGTGTTTCATACGAGACCCCTGACGGTATTCAACTTCAAAGTCGAATTATTGCAGATAAGCCCACCACCTATGAATTCTCTTGGAAGTAATTCCCACTTCTGATGTCAGAAGAATGCGGTTGGTGAGAGGGTAGTAAAGGGGAGCCCTCACGGCTGCCCCTTTCTCGACGATTATTTTCCATAATAGAATTTTGAATAAAATGTAATTTGTAAATAACTATTTATTTCTCATGAACTATTTACTAGCAGAAATAATAATTTATGACTATAATAACTAAGTTATCAAGCGTGCGTGTCTGCTGCGAGAATCGAACTGCCGCTTCGTCCGCAACGACTCGCTTATATAGGGAATTTTGCCTCATTAGGCAGGTGGGCAGGCAGGTAGAGGGGTATCGCACGTGCGATCACGCCACGTTGTTTTGTTGGCGCGCCGATATATATATATATTGTATCTTTGTACGAAAACACACATATTTGTTTAAGAAAGCCTGTGATGTGAATACTAGACTCAGTAGAAACCCGAATCGACTTGTACTTGACACTATTCCTATGACTGCTAAATACAGTAAAAGTTGTTTACAAAAGTGTGTTGACATATACATATAATAAAATACCACTTGAGATTAAATTATTTCACTTAAGTTTATTTAAAACAAAGCTGTGCAAGTGGTTAAATAAAAATAATTTTTATGACCTAAACGAAATATTTGACAGAAAATGAGATGTAAGATTTTATTTTGAAGATTATCATTCTTGGCTAAATTAATTTGTAACTTGATACGTTTGTGACATTTTTGTATTATTGAGTTGTAGTAGTCTGATCGACATTGTATAACTAGACATTTGCACGCTATTTAACATATGCGAAACCTTAGAATAATAACGCATAGAATGATAGTTTCATATCAAACGAACTGTCACAAGTGAGGCAAAAATCAAATTCATGTAGGCTAGTTTTAGTAGTGGGTTAATTTTCGGTTTTAGTGAATATTTATATAAAAATACAAGTTGAAACGCGTTACTTCCTTGTGGAATGTGATGTTAGTATCTATTTCATGTTTATCTGACGTATTTTTACACTCATTTAGCGCACATTTCGTAATTTTTAGCTAAAATTCTTGAGCTGTTCGCGGTGCAAGTTGACCTTGAGCACTGACGCCCGCCCGCTCGTGTAGGCCCTTTGGGAGCGCTTCAATTTGCCTCACTTAGCGTGTGCGGACTAGGTTTCTATGCGTTATTATTCTAAGTGCGAAACATGTTTTTTGAGTGCCAACTCTCTTGTAACATCTTGTGTTATACCATGTTTTAAGCAAATAAACGAATTATTATTATTATTGTTATTATTAATGCAGAATCAGGAGTGGTACAATACTATTGAGAGTTTTGACAAGAACTTCATTTAATTTTATTCATCATCAACATCCTAGTAGCCTAATTGGTTTCTAAACAAATTTGTGTTAAATTATTGATCGAGTCGGGTTAGGCTCGGCTCGTTAGTACCATACATTTCTTCCTGTTTTGTGCTACGTACGCGTTTTATGTTTAATCACTGCTTCTGTTTCTAAACTTTCGGCGACTTGGCATTATTTTGGACCCTGATTTGCTTACTATTTGGTACGTGTTGTTTGTGTGTGATCAACGACTGCGCCTCCGGAGACTGCCTTTAAAATGGCAGATCAACGGAATGTGGTTGGAGCAAACCCCGAATTCAGTCATAGTGAATACACTGACATGTACCTAATTTACGGCGAAACTAGACGTGTTTCTGCACGCGGCATCATGTAATTAAATGCAAGATTAGCAGCAAGATTGTATGCGGAAAGATTTCCTTACCGTAGACCACCGGTCCATGAGACTATAATGAGAGTTGATGCTGCGTACAGAGAAGTTAGGATCCCTAGCCATCATGGTGGAGGAAGACCTCGTACCTTAGCAGACGAAATAGTTTTGCAGAAAGTGTCAGAAGATCCGTCCACTTCAGTTCGCTTGATAGAAAGACGGACTGGCATACCAAAGTGTAGCGCGCAGCGAATTTTAGTTTGAGCATTTGATATAATACCTAATAAAAATTAAATCATCTCATTTATATTGTTTTGGTTTCTACTTTCCATTTCTACTAAGGCACTCTTCCACGATATTAGTAGCTAAATCCGCATATTTTTGGAAAGTTTGACTTGTCATCGTTTGTTTGTATCAGTTTAGAGAGAAAGAAAATTAAGGCCTAGTAACTCTCTCATTCACTTTATTATAACTACAGCACGGGAAAAAAATTGATGCGCCGCCATGCAGCCCTTAGCAATTAATTAATTTAAAAGTTTAAGTTTAATTTTAATTTTAAGAAATTAATTTGGCTAGTAGGGTGTTATGACGAAAAAAATTAAAAGACTAAGTTCTTGTCGAAAACCACAATAGTGATGTACCATTCCTGATTCTGCATTAAGTGGAGCAGTTTTTAAGATCATTAGCAAATTCAGTTTCATACAATTTTTCTTCACACTAGTTATTCAAATATCATGTTTAACTTTTTACTAATAACTTTTTTTCATATTTTATGATATTTCTCAGTGAAATATTACTTGCAGTACATGGAAAAACTATTCAGAATCCCCGAAGTACAAAAATAATAACCATCTGGAACTAACCCTGGCAATAGTAGCATAAAACCCAACAAAAGGTAGAATCATTCCAAAAAAATAAAAAAGTGCCAATATCTCGAAAACCAAAAGATTTTTATTAAGGTCAAATTATTTTTTTCTAGTAGGTATAGAGCTCACCTACCTACAGTGTCCCTCAGTCGTGGTATTTTTGGGACACCCTGTATATTTAGTATTATATATTAGTTTAAAGTATAGTTTAAATGTATGTAAATGTAATGTAATTTATACAGATTTGTAGGTGTTATGATAATAATAATGTGCCAATAAAACTACATCAATTACCTGGTTCCAAATTAGGCAATTTCCTGTATAATGAGTACCAGAAGAACAAAGAATTGAGTCTGGGGCACTTCCCAGAACTAAATTGGCCCTTTCGGTAATCGAACCCAGGAACTCCTCATCCAGTGCTCATGGTACAGTCAAGAGCACGTCAAACTTGACACTTTGTTCCGTTCTCATCGTAAGTGGCATAAAGTTGAATTTAAATCTTAAGTGTCAAGCTTGACGTGCTCTTGACCCTGTACCAATTGTAATATTAATGGCGGTAACCTATCAGTGGTCTGAAATGACATTTTCCAGAAATAACGTTTGGTCGAAATTTCATAACCTCGAAAGTAATTTTGAGAGGAAAATGTTTTTTCTTTTAAACCTAACATAACCTAACCTAACCGAACCTAATCGTGTCTTTGCGATAAACATTCAACATATCCTGAAAGAACAACTGTTGCGTCATAATTCGGTTTTCGGTGTAATGAAAATTCGAACAAACGTTATTTCCGACAAGAATATTTTCGACATTGTGATAGGTTACCATTAATGGCACTCGAATTTTATTGTACCGACATAAACAGGAAACATTATTTTCTAATTTTTTTTTTAAAATATCAAGTGACGGGACAAACAAGTCGTGTGCCTGATGGTAAGCTACACGCCTGTCCATAACAGTTGCAGTGCTACTTAGAGCTTTAAATCGCAAAGATCTGGGGGCACTGCCACTGCGCCCGTCACCCTGAGACATACGAGGTAAATGTAAATTAAGTAAATGAGACTGATTTTTTTTTAAATTTTTTATTCAAAAAGAATTACAATTCTATATTGTCACCTTCAAAATAACTTCCTTCTGAGGCCACACAGGGCTGGAGACTTTCTTCCACTCCTCATAGCAGTGTTGGAACTCCGATACTGGAATAACCTTCAGCTGGTCGGTTACAGCCGTTTGAATTTTTTCGACTGTCCCAAAATGATTTCCCTTGAGGTGATTTTTCAACTTTGGGACGAGAAAAAAGTCACAAGGACTCAAGTCAGGCGAATAAGGAGGCTGAGGAGCCACAGGAATGTTATAATGGCCAAAAACTCGTTTATTGAAATTGCTGTGTGACAAGGAGCATTATCGTGATGCAACACCCACTTGTTCTTGATGTATGGTCTCACACGAATGACCCTTTCGGAGTCTTTCAAGAACCTCTCGGTAAAAGTGTTGATTGACCGTTTGACCTTGGGGAAGAAACTCTTTGTGGACGATTCCGGGGATATCGAAAAAACAAATCAGCATGCATTTGATTTTTGACTTCGCCATCCTTGCTTTTTTGGCCTTGGAGAGGTTGAAGTGTGCCACTCCATGCTCTGGCGTTTGGTTTCTGGGTAGTACTCAAACACCCAAGTCTCGTTACCAGTAATGACACGTTACAGAAAATGGGGGTCATTTTCAATTGAATCCAAAAAGTCAAGGCACCTTTCCTTCCTGATGTTCTTCTGGTCTTGCGAAAGGTTTTTTGGAACCATTTTTGTGCAGATTTTTCTCATCCCCAATTCATTGGTCAAAATTTGATGAACGGTGGTGTGAGTCAAATTTAACTCTTCCCCGATCATTCTGACTGTCAACCGACGATCTGAACGCACAAGATCCCGGATTCTGTCGACATTTTCATCGGTTCTTGAAGATGAAGGCCTTCCGCTTCGTGGTTCATCTTCAATCGACTCTCTTCCTACTGAAAATGCCTTAAACCACCGAAAAACCTGGGCTCTTGACAAAACACTATCTCCGTAGGCCTGCTGAAGTTTAAGAAGAGTTTCCGTTGCACTGTGACCAAGTCTGAAGCAAAACCTGATAGCACACCGTTGCTCGAAATTGATGTCATTCATTTTTAGAACGCAATAGAAAAAACTGTTTCACAAAAACAATCGCTACGCACAACCAAATGACTCGAGTGAGATCAAACTCGTACTGAAGGTGGATCACATGTTCCTCCCAAGCCCCGCGCTTCCTGTTGCCAGATCAAACGCAACGTTGCCAGTCTCATTACTTAATTTACATACCTCGTAAGTAGTCGAGGTTCCATGTACCTGTAATTTCACTAGCACCTTTACTTTTTTTTTTACTTCCCTGGACGAACTCTTTCACAACGAGCTCTACTGTTGCTAAAACCTTGTAAAAATGTTTACCTGTGTAAGTCTTATGCAGGCCTCGAGTTGTCTAGTAGTAATAGGAGTGCCATCGGCGCCATCTTGGTAATTGTGACGTAACTCTAAGTAAAAACTTTGCAGAGTGTTTGCAGCTTCATTGCTTAGTTTCGGGTGTACATATCTTCTGGCATAGGCAAAGTATTTCCGTAGTAAAACTAGAGGTAGGGTGTCGATAACTTCTCCAGGTTTTAACCGCAGCCGTTTACTGTGAAATAATAAAGCATGCCGTAGCATGTTGTATTGTATTATTTTTCGTACCTACATTGATTTTATTTTTAACTTGATGAGCTTGGTCCTATTGTGATTGTTCCCGTAAAATTGGTGGTTATATGAGAGTACACAGTATAATACAATAATAATGTAATAGGCAACCACACCAATTACCTTATCTCAAACTAGGCTATTTCGTGTACTATAAGTACCAAAGCAACGGAATTAATTCTGGGGCGCTACCCAGAACACCCAGACCAGTATCAAATTTAGAAAAACTCATTTTTCAAATTGGTCCTATCGGGAATCGCACCTGCGACTTCGTCCGCGCCCACAATGCAAACCATTGAGCTACTGAGGTCGTGTACAAAAAAACATACAATGCGCTATACACTACCAGTCAATGATTTTATATACGACTACCAGTGTACATACAAAAGTTTACACCACACCTAGTTTTGCAATGCGTGTTAATGGCGGCGCCGTGTATTAATTGCACTAGTAAATGTGACACATGTACCTCAAAGAAGCATCTTGATTACTTTGACTGGTGTCAATGCTAACATTAAGACTGCTTCTCTTCGAATTGTTGCTATTCTGCCCAGAATGTAACGCTAGTACGTGTTCCGAAAGCATAGCATCTATTTTCTGCAATATGCAAATAGAATTATTTAGTTATATAATACACGCAAGCCCTACCTATTACTTACACGTACAGCCTTAGAATAATAACGCATAGAAACCTAGTCCGCACACGCTAAGTGAGGCAAAGTGAAGTGCTCCCAAAGGGCCTACACGAGCGGGCGGGCCGTTCAGTGCTCAAGGTTAACTTGCACCGCGAACAGCTCAAGAATTTTAGCTAAAAATTACGAAATGTGCAGTAAATGAAATGTATAATAAATAATGTAAAATAATATGTAAAAATACGTCAGATAAACATAAAATAGATACTAACATCACATTCCACAAGGAAGTAACGCGTTTCAACTTGTATTTTTATATAAATATTCACTAAAACCGAAAATTAACCTACTACTAAAACTAGCCTACATGAATTTGATTTTTGCCTCACTTGTGACAGTTCGTTTGATATGAAACTATCATTCTATGCGTTATTATTCTAAGCGTACAGAATTATTATCTATACCTCATCAGGTTGATCTAGAAGAATGAACACCAGGTCGAATCGTGACAGCAGCGCGGAATTTAATTTCAGGTTTTCAGCCACCGTTTTAGCTCTGAAGCAAAGTGCAAGGTTTTGATATAGTTAGAGTTGCGTTTTAACCGACTTCAAAAAAGGAGGAGGTTCTCAATTCGACTGCTTTTTTTTGTATGTATGTTACGCGATAACTAAACAAACTAAATTTTTGAACCGATTTTGAAGATACTTTTTTATTGGACAGACGGTACCTCAGTATTGGTTTCATTTAAACTTGAAGAAAATATTCTACCTCTGAGGGTCGCAAACTAGGGGATGAATCCGGTTTTGCGCACTTTCCGGTAACCGATTTCAATAAAACTTGGCAAATTGATGTAATTCCACTTACTTTTGAGGTCGGGTTTTTTAGTACTCGTACTGGTGTCAAGAAACTGTATTTATAGTAAGACACGACTGTGAAATAAATCAATTTTAAACATCAGTTACGTTTAAAACGGAGATTAAAGGTCTGGCTTTACTAAACAGTTCTATAAACTTTTTAAATTCAAGTGTACCTATTTGGAGACATGTGAGACCCAAAAATAAATGACGTTGTGACGTATTTCGAACACATGGACAATCGGTTTTTGACATTAAACAATATGAAAACAGAAGAAGATCCCGCTTGTGAACCCGGAATACAATTGACTAAGTTCGATTAAAAAAAAATTACAAAGTAGCGCAAAATTTTTCAATCATTTTTTACGTTCATTTATGAAGAATAGGTTTCAATTGTTATTATTATTAGAGATATCGCAATAAAATTTTCTTTCCCGTGTGCCGTGATAAACACGTCAGGGTACTAAGAGCTTATTTTACAGTAAAAGAGTAAACTTTATTTCCAAAAGACAAATGTTTAAATACGTGCAATGGATTTCACCGTGTCTATCTTATACGTTTCATAGCCTAACTACGATATATATTTCGCTTAATGAAAAAAACTCAGTGTAACTTTATGGGTATTTAAACAAATACCTATTATAACTGCCACCAGCAGGATTCGCCGCAGCCAGTACAGTAGCGCGAGCGGCAAGACTGCATACTACACCACCCTTAGCTACACTCACTCGGCGTTGCTCCATCGCTTCTAACAGACTGCTGTGATGAGCTGTCATCTAGAATATAACAGGCTAATTGACAAATGACGCGGAGCGCGCATTGCAATAAAAATATACACGGAATCTTAAGCCGTAAAAGGAGTCACCAAACTTATTAACGCGCAATCGCCTTGAGTCCGTGCAATAAGTGAAACACATAAAGTCGCTTTCGTTCTTATTACATCGACATAACGTTTTTTCTGACCGGCTTAATGCGATTCAGTGTCGATATATGTGGTGACCCCCAAATTTGGAATTTTTTTTAGCCCCGCATTAGGGAATCCCTGTATCGCGACTGCCTTAAATACACACATAGACAACCGCATGTTGCACCCTCTCACGAGAGAAATAAATGTAGACCATAGAAATAGTTCCTCGGCCCGGGAATCGAACCCGGGACCTCTGCTTGGCAGTCCAGCATGGTAACCGTTTGGCCACAGAGGCGGTTAAATTATGCTACCGATATACTCGTATTGCGCATAAAAAATCGTGAATGTACCGCTTTGCCTGATTATTTGCAGCGATAGCACATATTTCATCAATTTCATAGAGACTAACTGTATAAGTTTAAACGCAATCTGAGTTCAGAATGAAGCGGCACAGTCTTATTACGATATCCCATATTCTGAACTTGAGTTACTGGGTACCATTTAATGTACACGATTAGGGCTAGGTCGCGAACTTCCAATAGCTTCCATGTTGTTTACCAATTCGTCGATTTGGCGTGTACTGTCTTCAAGGAATTAAGGACCTACCTTATCAAGCTCATCAACGCAACAAACTCCTTTATCAGCGAGTACCAAAGCGCCAGCTTCTAGCGCGAAGTCACCGCCGGCTTCCCGTCCCAAAGCCACTGTCAAACCGCCTGCGGAAGCTGACGCACCGCATACGTAGACACCTACATTCATAGATTTATATTTATGTTTTAATTGGACAGCCGTCCGCTGCTGGACATAGGCCTTGCCCGAAGATCGCCACAACGACCGGTGTTGCGATACTCGCATTCAGCACTAACTTACTAATTTATTAACTTATGTTATTGTCAACAACTTATGTTATTAATCGTTAATAATATTGTGAAGTGACGAAATTTATGTCACGTAAGAGAGATGTAAACGAACGAAAATGTAATGTCATTTGGTACCTTTACGATAACTATTAAGTAATCTGTGCCTTTACAGATCAAATACTATACTCGTTGACAAATTAAAAAAAAAGGCGTTATCTATATTCAATTACTGTTTACACTTTATTTACTATAGGTGCCTACAGGTTTGCTCGATTTTTTGACGATCGACATAGTATTTTTTGTCGATCGCCACGTGTGGTCAGACGAAATCGAGTAAATGTGTACAAAACAGACGGTCGATATCTTTTTTTTTTATCGGTCGATACTGTGATTTAAATTAGGCATAGTGGGTACAAATTTGTTAGATTTTGACCCTGATATTTATCGATCGCTAACAGGCAACAGTAACTAAGTATATATAAAATTTGAGTAAATCTGTTAGCTGATAGATGTTGTTGATCGTCAAACCACAGCACTTCGGGCGCCAATAACAATCGTCAAAAATCGAACAAATCTGTAGAGACCTTTACCGTGATATTTAATATATTCTTTATTGTACAAAGAAAAGACACATGAAACACACGTTATAATGGACATATACAAAGGTGAGCTTATCTCTATAAGAGATCTCTTCC